AAAAATTCCCCTCTAAATCTAGCGGAAAAATGTTTCTGGGGGGTCACGTAAGCCCCCAAGGTCACATGACCCCCCCCCCCCCCCCCGAGGTCACGCGACACCCCCCCCCCCCCCCCCCCCCGCCCCGAGAACAGGTGACCCTCAGTACCCTTCCCTCCTCCTCCTCAAGAGCTGCGCTCCGATTCAGTGTCACAGGGAGTTGTAAACGGCTTTCATTTTTTGCTCGCTCTTCCACCTCTTTAGCCGTGCGTTTATGTTGCGTTTTCAGCCGTCCCAGCAAGCTATTTCTGCTCCTTATGTTATGGTGCAGTGGCCGTAGTTTATAACGGCTCCTCAGGCAGTAGAGCGCTAAGATAATTGACTCTGAAGTGGCCAAGGTGGCCCTTCATTTATTTGCAGGAGGTATTTTAAGATGCCGTTCAGACCGGGAAGCAGCCAGCAGATGGAGCAGCCGTCGGAGCCTCCCTGGGGCGATTTTTTGTGGAGCTTCTTTCTTCTCTTTCCACACGCGGACTGGCTCTCGTCTTTTCGCGTGACTGGCTTTCTGTGAGTAACATCGCTATTACGGACACCAAGACACTACAGGTCTTCCCCCCTAGAGGAGCAGCAGGGTTTAGCTCCACATGACAGTTTTCTTGTTTGCTGGAGGGTTCTTGAGCAGGCCTGCGAGTGTCGTCTTCCGGCTTCTGGGAGATCATTGATGATGACACGAGCGCAGTGTCCCAGATTGAGGCTGCCATAAAAGGAGGTTTTATACGGTCGATGTACACGACGTGGACATCGACCGTCGTTCATTGATGATGATGGTGAAAGTCTTCTTATCTCGGGAGATGACTTTAAATGGGCCATCGTAAGGTGGTGTTAATGATAGACGCACGGAGTCACGTCAAAAACACATGTGTACATGTTGTTAGTTCTGTGTGAATAAAAGTTTTCCGTGGTGTTTTTTTTTTTTTTTTTTTTTTGCCGTGACAGGGTCGGTCGCAAACAGGATAACAGGTCTCGTATATCTTGGAGATACGAAGGAAGGTCGGATGGTGGATTGGGCAGGTGTGTGAGGAGCTCATCAAAAAAGAAGCGTTGTTTCATACGCTAGTTCGGCAGCTGTGCAGCAAACATCTTCCTTCAAATTGGCCCGAATGCCCAAGAGCACCAGAGGGAGATGGTTCACCCAATTGGTCCTGTCACTCTTTGTAATGAGCAAGGCCTTGAGTTGCCGGTGTAGCCTCTTGACCATGCCATTGGCGGACAGATGGTAGGTTTTCGTGTGGATGTAGCACACTGCAAGGAGTTTTGCCATTGAAGCGAAGAATGAGCTTTGGAAGTGCAAAACATGGTCCGTGGTGACAATGGAAGGGCAGCCGTACCGTGAAATCCAGTTGGTGATGAACGCGTACGCCACGGCTTGTGCGGTGATGACCGAAATTGGGATCGCTTCTGGCCATCTGGTAAAGCGATCCAAGCTTTTATGTATATATCGGAACCTTTAGGATGTTGAGAGGGGTCCGACAATATTAACATGCCCGTGGTCGAAGAGGGCGTCTGGTGGTTTGAAAAGATGAAGCGTGCTCTTTTGTATGACGCTGAAACTTGGAGCGTTGGCATGAGCTGCAAGACCGCGTACAGAGGCGAATGTCTTGGTTGATGTTGACCAGACATATCTCGAGCAGATGAGTCGTTGGGTTGCTCGAATACCAGAATGGTTTAGGTCATGGAGTGAGTGAAAGATGAAGCGTCGAAAAATGGGAGGGATGTACGGTCGTAGCGTACCCGTTGAGGTGTCGCATACCACCTTGCAGTTTGTAAGCGGTAGTCGTACAGGTCGAAGCTGCAGCAAGGTGGAGGACTCTTGCAGTATCCGCAACTCAGCGTCATTTTGTTGAGCTTTTTCCAGTTAGGAAAAGTCGAAGTCAGGTGGCGCAGTGAGTGTCTCGACACGTGACAGGGCGTCTGCCGCCTCGTTGTTAGCTCCAGATTTGTGGCGCAGATAAGTTATATATTCAGAAATCGAAGCGAGCTGACGAATCTCTCGGGTCGAATACGAGGCTCGATTTGGCGTGAAAGGCGAAGGTGAGGGGTTGTCGGTCTGTAAGGGAATGAAAAACCCGGCCTTCCAGGAAGTTTTTGTAATGCCGTATTGCTGCATAGCTGGCAAAGAGTTCGCGACCAAACGTGCTGTAACGTGTCTCCGCCGGCTTTAACTTCTGTGAAAAGACACCTAGCCAAAATCAGTTCGTCTGGTTGTACTGTTGAAACAAGGCTCCCACTACGACATCCGAAGCGTTGACTATAAGTCTCGTGGGTGCGTCTAGTTCCGGATAGACGTGAAGTGCCGTGTCGACAAGAGCTTGCTTTTCAGTCTTGAATGCCTCCTCTGCCATCGAATTTCATTCGACCTGTGATATGGGACCTTTCGGTGAGCGCAGTAGACCTGTTAAGGAATTGAGAATTTGAGCACACTTTTTAATGAAGTGTCGATGGAAGTTGACAACCCTCAGAAATTATCGTAACTTACGAAGTAAATTGGGTTGCGGAAAGTCTCATGGGGCTTCCATTTTTAAGACAATGGGTGAATGCCTTTTGGTGTCACTCGGTGTCCTAATAACTCGAGGTCGGACGTTCCGAAGACACATTTTCCAGCGTTAACGACGAGATCATAGTTGTGTAGCTACCCGAAGAGTAAGCGCAGATATCGGTCCTGCTCTTCCGGGAAGTTGCTCGCGGTTAGGAGGTCGTCAGCATATGCAAACACGAAGTGTAGCCGCCGTGTCACTACGCGTATGAATCGTTGAAATGTTTGCGCAAAATTTCAAAGGCCGAAGGGCATTCCCACAAACTTGAATAACCAAGACGGCGTGGTGACAGCAGTTTCAGAACATCACCTGGCTCGATAGGTGATAAGATTTTACTAACTCCACCTTGCTGTAGATACAGGTCCCGTTGAGTTGCTCTGTGAAGTCACGCAGGATTGGTATAGGGTAACAATCCGGCAACGTACTGGCGTTGAGAGCGCGATAATCGCCGCACAGCCTCCAGTCTCCTGGCTCCTTCTTCGGCACCATGTGTAAAGGTAATGCCCAACAGCTGTTCGACGGCCGAAGAATTCCGAGCTCGAGCATGTGCTCGAATTCCCGTCGAGCGGTTTGGAGTCGTTCACCGGAGAGGCGACAAGGTCGTGCGCATACAACCGGAGCAGAGGTGACGATGGTGTGAGCCACACCATACTTGGTCCCTTGTGCCAGGTTGAAGGGCCTCGTGACATCGGGCAACTTGTTCAATATAGATTCGAACCCCGTTAATGGTAAGATTTGGCGTATGCCAAGGGATGAAACGGTTGCACATATGCCATTTACAGCGAGACTTATCGCACCGTCGAGAAGACGACGGTGGCGCTTGCTGACATCTAAGTTAAAGCTAGACAAAAAGTCGGATCCTTGGATCAGACATTTGACGTCAGCCATATTGAAGAGCCACCTTAAAATTTGGCCTAGCCCTAGGCCGAGAGTAACTTATCGCATTCCGAAGGTGGGTATGGTGGATTCATTTGCTGCGATTAGGTTTCTGTCTTTAACCAGGCGTCTTATCTCTGCTGATGTGTGTGGGACCACGGACCCTTCGGCTCTGGTGTCGACAAGAAGTCAACAGCCGGTGAACCGACCAGCTATGTAAAAATGGCGGCATGCTGGTAAGCCCGAGTCACCACCTTTAGTGACTGGCCGGGGTGTTTTCCTGCCAAACACAGGGGGGGGGGGGGGGAGTGACACCCCCTTTAGGGCTTGCTGTCCATACTTTCGGTGGTACCAGCAGGTACTCGGACTTTGCTGATGGCGATCGCTTTCGAGCGGAAGATGGGTTCCTCCGGTGAGAAGAGCTGCGTTGAGAAGAACGCCGTACGTGACCGGCATGTTTTTGCTGACACGCAACGTTCGCCGTCAGCTGGTCGATCTTTGTTTGAAGTTCCTGCATGGTGGTTGTCGAGTAATGAGGTTCTGTCAACGCAGTTACCGTCGGCACCACGTACTCCGCCACACGATTAGCCATTTCCGCAACACGTCCAAGACATGTCATTTGCTGGTTCTACGACCATGCGAATGCCTGCGGTAGCCGTTGCAAGAACAGTTCCCGTACAATGGAGTTGTCGTCAAAGCCTTCCTCGAGTGATCTCTACTGGAGCTTCTTGTTTTTCTTTCCACACGCGCACTGATGCGAGTCTTTTCGCGTGGCTCGCTTTCTGTGAGCCACATCGCTATCGCGGACACCTAGTCGCTACAACTCCATGCTCGCTGAAGCGCGTCATGGTGCCAAAGGTGTCATTCACTGTTTGCCATAGCTCAGTCCATTTCTTTTCATCCCGAGCTTACTATTAGCTGCCACAACGCTTTTGCAATGTGCATTGCACACCAGAAATAATCTAGTTCTTCTCACAAGAGAGGTGGGATAAGATAAGGAGAATAAGCTCTTCTCACACGATAAGTGAAAAAGGTTTGCCAGGATGAACGCAGACTCGTTTCAAGGCAGTGTTCATGCTGGCAATCTTGTTTTTCGGCCGGAAAATTTATATATGTGTATTATATTGGCATCAGATATGGGATATTTTCAAAGCGAAGCACTAAAACTGCCGTAGCATCTTACCTGAATGATCGGAACTACTCTTGCGACTAGGCCCGCTTTTCGTTTTGTTCTACCGCAATATAAGCTTTGCGTCCCTCGATGGCCGTGCAGCTGGTCAGAAGGGGGTGCCATAATCGGGAACCGGTAGTTTGGGTTTAGCCATATACTCCACGGAACAAACATTTGAGGTATGAAATCGACAAAACTACACAATGCATAAAAAAGTCAGACACAACGTAATGCAGGAACCCGTCCTTCACTAAAAACCGTCGCAACCCCAAAACCGTGACAATATACATCCGGTTACCTTTAAAACCTCGCGATGAGATTTAGGTCCCATTTTAATCAGGATTTAAAAGAAAAAAATTATGTCGGCGTGGAATGCTCACCTGAAGTCCCAGAATTGCCTCTCTTCCCGAGTGAGGTTTATGTGACTTGAGTATGTATTTCCTCGGGAATTTCCTAACCACACGTCGTATCCAGCGTCGGCCAGAATGAATCCTATAAAATATAATAGTCGTAATTTAGGAAGTCATATTTCTTTGTCATTTTACACGTAGGGAATATATAAAAAAAAAAAAAAATCCGAGGACAGCTAAGCACTTTTTATGGGTTGTGAATGCGAAAGCACGAATGTCGTTCTTCCGCAACCTTAGTTCGTCTGCAGCGTACTGGCGTGAACGGCCACGTTTCGCTCCTGCCGAGGCTGTGGTCGACGGCCAAGCGCGCGCTCTCGTGAAGTGGCCGAAAGGCGCTCAGCTCGGCCGTGCAGCCACTCCGGAGTTTGCCCGTACGGTCTCTGCGGCCAGGCCCCCACCTCTTATCGGCAGCCGGGCTACTGTATGCGCTGCGCCGCCATGGAGAGTATTCTCTGGTGGCGTTCCTTGAAACTACGCCGCGCAAAAGCCAATGGTAGCCTCGTTCCTTAAAACTATAACGTGCGCCAGCCAACGCGAGCTTGTTCTTCAGATTTGTGCTACAGACGACAGGCTTTGCTCTATTTGGATAGGGTAAGGTGCCGTTTGGCGTGGCTTCAAAAGCTGATGACCTCTGTTCGATTCGTGGGGCAGTTAATGCTTTCGCGTTAATATCAGCGAACAATAGTTTCTATTAGAAACAATAGTTTCTATTAGAAACAATAGTTTCTGCTAGGAATGTAGGAACTTTAAGTAACAGCAATAGTGGAATATAAACACATATGCGACTGAATTAACCACAATAATATTTATTTTAGAAAACAAAATATTTGGAAAAGTAGTAATTGTATAGAAAGACACGTAGTTTCGGAACGAAAACTTCAGTCTTCATAAAAAGGTGCAATCGAATATAAAGTCCGAAGTAGCCGAAATTAAAGCCCGCTTTTGCGAGCTTTCAAAATATCGGTATTGCTTAAGAATTTGATGAACCACATTTTTTTATATGTTTTCTGGCATCAAGATTGCGGGCAGGCGAAACTAGGAGATGAAATCGAAATATCTCGAAAGCCCAAATTCGCGCGCGAAACGGATGTCGAACGTTTTATTGGAAAACTTCGTTCACATTAGTGGGCTTCTTGGAAGCACAATGGATACGCCACTGGGTTTCTACTTGTTTGATCCTGCAGGTAGGGGTTATTTCTGAGCCTTATTCTTTTAAGTTGACTGACCTACTTTGATTGCTGCTACCGACCCCACTGGGAAGCATGACTCCTCCCTCCTGCATCGTCGGGCATCAAGGGTGTGGGCAGCGAAACTGTGTGATGAAATTGAAATATCTCGAAAACCCAAAATCGCACGCGAAACGGATGTCGAACGTTTTATTGGAAAACTTCATTAACATCAGTGGGCTTCGTGCCAGCACGATAAACACGCCACTGAGTTTTTCTTTGCCCTGCAGAATGCGCAGTCGCCAGTGCCCGCCGATAGCTGTGGCAGTACAACCTCTTTGCTTTGTGCTGTCACCGCAGAATCGTTGTGTCCCGTTACAGACATTTCGTCATCCTTCAATTCTTGCGACCATCTGCCTTCGTCGGATTATTTGATTGAATTCCTCGGGACCTACTTTTGCTACCGACCCTTCAAGACTGCCGCTGCTGCCGTTCATTTTCAGTGGGCTTTGTTGCAGCACAATGAACACGCCACTCAGTTTCTACTTCTTAGCCCTGCAGGTAGGGTTTATTTCTGGCCTTATTCTTTTAAGTCAAATGACCTGGTTTTATTGCTGCTACCAAGTAGACTGGGAAGCATGACTTGTTTCCTCTTCGTTAGCATGGTATGGAGTTTGTTTCACTCTCTTATTCGTAGTGGTGATATCTAAGTGAATTCCAACACTGGTGAAGACACTCAGACTATTCTTAAATAAATCGTTGAAGGGAAACGCAAACAGCTCTGATATAACCGAAATGAAAAGTAACCAGGCAACTCTGCAAGATAAGCATGACGGTTTAGAACTGCGCCTTACAGCGGTTGATTCCAGTTTATCTCAACTACCTATGCCCCTTGACAAGGTAACATGCCCAGAAGATAAAATTGCCGCTCTAAAAATTGTCGTCACGCAACTATCTGATAGAAACGATGACTTGGAAAATCGTTCTCGTAGGAACATGCCGGTTAAATATGGCTTAGGGTAAGCTTACGACAAATCACCAGCTTGCTTACTGAACTGTGTCATTGATCTGTTTTCAAAAGCTTTCTGTATCTTGTGATGGCATTAAGCGCTGTCGTCGTCTTGCTTCTCATATGGAGGATAAAATTAATCTAATTATTTGAAGTGTGCTTGACTTTCGACACAACATTTGAATTCTAACAAATATTCACAAATTAAAGGGCATCCTCTTTTTTTATTAACGAGGACTTTTTATTTCGTCTCCGTAACATTCTCAGGGAGCTCTGGCATGGCGCGGCTTACCTCAGGCGAAACGGCTATAAAGTTTTTTTACGTCATGTCTATTAATTCACTTGTCAATAATGTCCGGAACACATGGAATGAGTCCAGCAACTGTATCGTAAGTGCTGCCCGTCCCGTCGTTTCTGCACCCTCGGATCGATTCGCGCAAAATAATAACTCTTTCTTTTTAAATCTTAATGCGAGAAGCCTTTTTTTTTTTATAAAGTTCACTGAATTTGCTTGCGTTGTAGCATAATATTCCACGCATGTCATATGTGTATCTCAAACTTGGTTGCACGATTCCACACTTGACTGTGAATTTACCCATCTTATTTATAATTTATAACGTTGTTCGGTTGCGGTAGCTCGTCTGGAAAAGGTGGGGGCGTCGCATTATTTTTGCAGGTCTGATGGTTTTTTTGTGTACTTTCTAGATGACAAGTACTGTTGTTGAAGGTACATCTAAATTAGTTTGTTCTTGTTATTTGGGTTGTTTACAGAGCGCTTAGTTCTTCCCTTCAAGTGCTGTTTGATAATCATTATTACACATTGCAAGAAACGCTTGGAAACTTCATTCTGATACTCACGGATGATTTTAATGTTTCTGGCATAAATTAAAATACTCTAACGGTAGGTAGCCATGATAATACTCTGTTTAATGCTTTTGTTGACAATACTTTAACATTTGATTTGGATCAAGTAGTAAAGCAGTGTACTAGAAATATATCAGCACTTGACCTTGTTTTTCTTAGTCATAGCATCACTGTGTCTGGTTACGAATGTTCCGTAACAGGGGGTCCTACCAGATAACAGATATTTTCTTACAACGCTGAATATCACTGTTTTACATTTGAATCCTATAAGTTTACAGTAATGGACTTGGATAGAAATGATCACGTGTCCATTCTTGATGTGTTTAGTTTTTATTTTGATGATTGTTTTCCCCAAGTCATGACTGTGATGTTGACGTGCTGCTAAACGAATTCGATGCATTACTTACTGAGTGCGTTAAGGAAGTTCCACCTGTTAAAGCAAAAAAGAATAATCCTACTCACCCATGTATTACTAAAGAGGTGTTGGAACTATAACATCGTGTGAAGAGGAATAAAAAAAAATAAAACATAGTGTTAATCCTCTAGAAGTAGACTGGTTTGAATGTTTGCGGAAAAGTTTAGAACCAAAAATGGCTGCCGCAAAGGATAAATATTTTAGTGTTACCCAATCTCGAATATTGACGTCAGACCCTGTGAAGTTTTGAAATCTAGCCTTTCCAGAAATGGTACTCCTTGTAGTTTTATTATTAAGAATAAATGTGTTAGTGACCCTGTGGTTTTTTTCTAATTGCTTTAATGAATATTTTTTCTGAGTTTTTATTTCAGACAACGGTAGTAAACCTTGCTTTTGTATAAATATTGTTTGTAATTCGTCAGCAAATATTCAGATTATTGTTCCCGGTATACACAACTTGCTTTCGTACCTCAACTGAAAAAAGTGTTCAAATCCAAATGATATCGCAAGTTTTTTTTTTTTCATTGTTGTTTAGTTCGGACATTCAGATACTAGCTAATATTTCCCAGAAGTCTCGTTTCTCTGAAACTGGAACTCGAATTTGGAAATCAGCACGAACTGTCACTATGCTCAAACAGGGTTAATAAACTTGCTTTCGAGTATCTTGAAAGCAATTAATTTCTCTGTGCTCAACAGCATTGTTTTTGCCTATATTTTTGAACCACTAGACGTTGTTTGGTATTTCCTCATTACATTGCTTCATCCTTAAATAAGAAAGGACAACTTGACGGCAATTTCATTGATTATTTGAAGGCTTTTGGTAAAGTATCGCACTCGAAGTTACTTTTGAAGTTAAAAGCCGTCCTTAAGAATACGCTTTTACCAGACTGAATTTCTGATTATTTGCATTGCAGGTCGAAGTGCGTTTAATATGCGAATGCCATCTTTTCGGAGGTTTTGGTTAGTTCAGGTATGCCGCAAAAAACCGCGTTAGGTCCTGTTTAATTTATTTGTGTATATTAATAATATAAAACAACATACCGGTGAAGAGTTTTCTATAAGCCGATGATTGCCTTCTGTACAATGACATCACGTCCATTAATGATCAGTGGTTACTAAACAAATCTTTCGTGCCCTTTTTTTAAATTGGAGTAAGAAATGGTGAATGTGCTTAGAATTTGATAATATTGTACTTTTTTTTTTTGACTTACAAAGAAAGAATCGCCCTTTGTTCTTTAGTTATGGTATTGATAATGTACTTTTAAACGAAGTGAGCGAGTTTAAATTCTTAGGGTTTTTTTTTGCGCCCAATCTTAGATGGGATAGACATGTCGACTTCATCTGCTCCCGATTCCCTTGAAAAGTTTGGTCATATCAAGCGGACTCTCAACTGCTCCACTAGAGAACTCAGACTAAACGCCTACAAAACCATCTTAACCCCATTCTAGATTATAAATCAGTTGAAGGGACCACTATTAAAAAAATCTAAATTGACTTGAATATTTTCGGGCTAAGACTGTAAGGTTTATTTTTAAAAGGTGTGACCGGATTTTATCTCTTTTATCCACTGTGACATCTCTTGCGCTTGTGCTGGAGGCGAAAAATAGATTGACTTAAAGTGCTCCACA